CACTGCAGGGGCCTCAATCTGCCTCCCCGCCTGCAACAGACTTACCAGCCGGATGCTGCCAGGCTGCGTTCCTGGCCACCTGCATGCTGTGCTGTGGCTGTGTCCATGCACAGAGGCATTTATTGGTGACATTATAGGTCACATCAGCCAGAAAAAGCCAATTGCCGATACTGTCAAATTTCCTTATATTGCCGATCCGATATGGGACCATGTATCAGTACACCTCTAGTAGTGATACATCCTTCAAAACACAATCAAAATAGCTTCCATGGAAACTAAAACTGGAGAATCATGCCTGTATTTGAATACAGCAGTACTCATTCACTTCAAAATTTTCACAACTATAAGTTATTTTTTTCCTGCATTTTACTATAGCTGATCTCCAAGAGTTCTTCAAGGACCCATTCATACTCCTGAAGTGTGAATTAGAAATTTTAATTAAATGGACTTCTGGTTCTGATTCTGGTTGTAAAATCAGAAGACCAGCCAGGTCAGACTGTTTCCTAATAGCTTGGAGGATTTCATCAGTTTCTTGGCAAGAAAAACTGTTATGTCTAAAACTCTCTTCTTTGGCTATGTTTGTACCTGGGGTGGGCAACCTATGGTCCATAGGCCAGATCCAGCCTGCCTAAAAATGCTGTATAGCACACAAAACCAGGATGTCAAGGGCAATTTGGTTGGGGGTGGAGGTGTGGAGCTGTGGAATTGGAAGTGAGGTGCTGGCAAGAGGAGTGGCAGCCTGCCTTCAGAGTAAGCTGTGTTCATTTGGCCCACTCCCCATTCCCAGGTTATACCTCCACCACTCTTGCCACTTTGATCTCTGATGTGTTTGAAAATAATCAGAGGGGGTGTCCACACAGTGGCTCCTGTTGCATTTCTGACTTCGAAATCTGTGCAAGGGAGTGAATGGATGGGATGAGATTAGAGGTGCATCAATATATTGGTCCATATAGGATTGGCACCAATAAAATGGGAGCCCAGGAAGGGTGGCTGTGCCTTAAGGAAATGATCCTTTGGGCACAGAGGGAGATGATCCCGATGAGGGGAAAATAGGGGAAAGGGGCCAAGAGGCTTCCTTGGCTGACCAGAGAAATCCAGAGCAGCCTACGGGCTAAAAGGGGGGCATATAAAAAGTGGAAACAGGGAGAGATTACTAAAGAGGAGTATACCTCCTCTGCTCGCGCTTGTAGGGAGGCAGTTAGACAGGCCAAAGCTACCATGGAGCTGAGGATGGCATCCCAAGTTAAGGATAACAAAAAATTGTTTTTTAGATATATAGGGAGTAAAAGGAAGGCCCAAGGTGGAATAGGCCCCTACTAAATGGGCAGAAGCAATTGGTGATGGACAGGGGGGACAAGGCTGAACTCCTCAACGAGTTCTTTGCCTCAGTGTTCCTAAGCGAGGGGCAAGACAAGTCTCTCACTGGGATTGTAGAGAGGCAGCAGCAAGACGCCAGACTACCAAGCATAGACCCTGAGATGGTGCAGAGTCACTTGGAGGAACTGGATGCGTTTAAGT